AACCGAGCGATTCTGTGTGATTCTGTGAAGTCTACCTTGCCCTCACCTGACTATACTGTTGTTTACAAAAAGTGCTGAGTTTGTTGGACTAGACTAGGTTTTGTAGAATTGATAGAAATGTTCTGATGAAGATGCGAACTGTTCCTGACAGATGCTTGTGCAGTAGCGAGATGGTAATTTCGTGTAATCTGGGATATTGTGGTTGAAGTGGAGTCTGGTTCTGTCACTTACTTATACTGACAAGTTGGGGTTTTTTTGAGTTTTGTCATGGTTCAAGCCCAGTGGGCAACTGAACACCGCAAGGCCTGTTTGCTCACTTCTCCCCCATGGTGGAATGAGAAGAAAATGTAACAAAGAGCTCATGGACTGAGACAAAGGACAGCGAGGGTTTCCTCACCACTTATGGTCACAGGTGAAAAACAGATTCATCTTGGGGAGAAAAATTAAACCATTTAATTTGTTATCAGTAGCATCAGAATACAACAGTGAGAGATACAACCAAGTCTTAATTAACTTCCCCACCCCCCACTTCTTCAGCTTCATTTGCAGTTTCTTTACCTCCCCATCCCAGTGGCACAGGGGGATGGGAATGGGGGTTGAGTCAGTTCATCCCGTCCGGTCTCTGCTGCTCCTTCCTCTTCAGGGGTAGGGAGGACTTCCCTGATTCTTCCTCTGCTTCCACATGGCACCCTTCCCACAGGAGACAGTCCTCCATGAACTTCTCCATGGGTCTGCCTATGGCTGCGGTTTTTCTCATGAACTGCTGCGGTGTGAGCTTCCCTTCCGCATGGTGCTGTCCTTCCCACAGACTGCCCCAGCACAACTTCCCGTGGAGTCACAGCTCACACATAGCCACCTTCTAGCAACGTCTTGCAGGGCTATCTCCATAGCGTTTCCCTGCTGCCAAGAAACCAAAACCCCTCACAGAAACACAAGTTTATAGCCAAGCCATATGGCTCTTTTCCCTTATCATCCCAAAAGCTTCATACAGTGTTGCTGTTCAAATTTAATTAGCCTAGTGAATAAGAGTAAATATTTACTGTGTTGCTGCTTGAGTAAACAAAATTCAACACCAGAAATATATATTCAGCATTACTTTTGAGGCAAAATTACAAATAAGAACACGCTGGGCTACTGTTCCTGCATTTACACACACCATCATGCATGTGGTATGGAAAATTCTTTAGCGTGGAATAGCATTACATTTATAAAAACAGGGTTAACCATATGAGAGCAATACTTCAGGTTGTGTAGTAAAAGTACATATTTCCCTTTATGATGTTTTTTGACAATCTTAAAAATTTATAGAAGTTGCCAAAACAATATTTGACCGTTGTAGCTTCCATGTAACCCTGAGTTCTGTACGACCTGAGTTCATCTGTACAGCAAGGAAGTAATAGTTTTCACTGTTGGTGTCCTAGCTGTCCTTTATTTGCCACTTCTCTGCCCAAGGATGAAGAATCCAAGAAAATACTCTTTTCTTGTGCATTAGAGCAAGTTAATCAGGAAATACAAGTTTTGGATTTACTGTTTACTGCAGTGAACTGCTTAATACATTGTGAGCTTTTAAATGGAAACACCTGTCCATTTGTGGTAGGCTTATAGAAGAAGTTAATGTTACCTTCTGTATTCAACAACTCAGCATGGTAAATGTTGACTGACATCTGTTAAAAAAATCTAAGAATAAGTCACTGGCTGTGAAGAATATGAAGTAGTGAATGAACATTTGAATTTAAAGAACCTGCAGGATTTTTAAGACTACCTACTGTCCTTCCTCCTAAAAGTGTCTCAAGACAAATTGACTCATTATGGTTACTGTTCAGGTATCATACGCATGTCTACTCAAAAGACTGCCCTCACTCTAGTAGTTGTTTAGGTAGCAATGTTTCCTTTGGAGGTAGGGAGGTTGATTATTTGGGATATTTGCATTTTTTGCATGACTAGCAGTCTCCCTTCATGGTTTATAAAGCTAAAAAGCAGAGACACATCAGCTAAATAGGATTTAACAAATGTATAAAGGGAGAGTGCTTGCTAAATAATTACGGGGCTCTAACAGGCCTTGAACCGTTCCCCTGAAACTTTCGGAATATATGTAGCCTGTATCATGACTTTCCCCACACAGTCTGTATTTGTCTCATGTAAAGTTGCAGTACAGTATTTTTGTTGCAGAGCCTTTGTAGTTACATCTGTTAGAGTAACTCTCTGTGATAGGTACAGCATCTGTTTGTAAGTACTATAATATCACTGGTCTGTTTGTATTAATTCTGTTCCTTTTTGATTTTAGTTGTGTGCCTGGTTGCTTACCACATATTTTTCATGCTGTTCGTCTGGTCATATTGGAAAACAATCTTTACACTACCAATGAATCCTTCAAAAGAAGTAAGATAACTTAACTTTTGTTTCTGAAATAGCCTAGTCAAATGCCTGACTTTATAGTATTTGAATAACTTAGACTCTGATGTCATGTAGTTTTTACACTATGTAGAAAAATATAGATCATAGTTCCAGCTTCTTAATAGGAGTAAGTCAGATTGCAAACAGCATAATGACCAAGACAAACAAAAATACACCTTCTTTAAGTTTTAAAAGTTTTTTGAAAGATTTTTAAAATTAGGTAATATTTATTCTATTAAGAAGAAAAAAAACCCTCTCCATTTGAAAATATGAGTTATTTGAACTAGCAGCTTAAGTCTTTGCATGGGGATGTAATACTTTTTTTGGGGGGGAAAAAGGTGTATTTTCATGTGTATAAGACTTTTACTGCCTGTCAGCATCTGTCTGTTGTTGTCTGAATTAAAGCTTCTTCCTCATCTGTTTTGGTAGGAAGGAACTTGAGGGCTGTGGCATAAGTGCACAGCAGGTACAGTGATGCTGGAAAGTCACAGCTGGCTAAGCAGGAAGGGAGCCAGTGTAGAACAGCTGGATGGAAGAGAGGTCTGAGTAAATGCATACCCCAAGTCTACGTCCAGCTAGTACAGAAGTGCTAAAGAAGAAGGATCCAGTTGTCTAGGAGAATATTAAGATACAAAACCATGTCCAATGTGATGAAACCTCAAGATAATTTCACATTCTTTCTAACATTTAAAAAAAAGAGAGAAAACTGTCAGTAGCCTTGACGAAAATCCTCCCATGCAGCTTGGTACAGCCAGTGCAACTTTTTGGCCTCTTCCATCCTGTGTCTGTACAGAAACCCCACATTCCTCAGTAAGTGCTGTGCCACACAACCTCTGAGATCAAGAGGAATCATACTATGGCTGCTCTGGTGTTAGAAATGTCTGCAAAGCCAATACCTGTTTCAGCACGGACTCCTAACTCCTATTACCACCATGCCAACACAAAATAAATAGCTTGTGATTTCTACTGTCTACTGTGCCACAGTTCTCTGAATAGTGTGCATTCACTGGTAAGATATGTAATTGTGGAAACAAGTAGATAATTCAAAGAATTGGCATCTTCCTTACCTTTCATGCTGCAGTCTTTACTACAGCTTGGGGCAAAGACGAAATTAATTAAGAACGTATTTCAATTGGCAATTACTTAGCAAAATATATGTGTGTATATGGTGACTGTAGCAATAATTAGAAGGGTTTTCAAATCACTGGGCTGATGCCAATAGAAGACGTTCAAAACATTTTGACAAATCCTTAGTAATTATAGTGGGCTTCCAAAGCCATCATACAATGCTACTGGAGAACTTCAAATGAGATATTTAAAGTATTGAAGTTGGGTAATAGCAAGCAATGCGTGGTGTTATTTTGTTTGAATTTACACAGTGTTGCTGGCAGTAAGTGACATCTTTGTTGTTCCATGTCTTTTCCTAATCTGCTAGAGCAGTATTTTAAAAATTTAATTAGGGTATTTTGTAATGTTAAGTTACTGCTTGGCTTCCAGTTGCTAGGATGAAGTCTGTAAATGTAAAAGGACTTATCAGCTATAGTAAATACTCTTTTGAGGATTGAAAACAGATAAAGCTTTTGCATTTTGTTCTCATGAATACTGCAGCTGGTGCAAACCCCACAATCTGTACATTTATTTTTAAGCTTATTTTGACTTTTTGCATGTATGAAAAGCACTAAAGTTCTGGCTGCAGTTTCTGTTTAACAGACTTGGAGGGACTTCACTTTAGTGTGTGCTGTTCTGTACCTGTGTGTACCAGCTACGTACAGGCATTGCATGATGGTGGGAGAGATGGTTTCCCAGGCAGGAAGGTTTTGTAGATTTAGGACTTATCTGATGATGGAGCAATAGCTCTGTGTACATCAAACAGGAAGCATTAAAAACAGAAGTATTCTAAACGAAGTTTCTGCAGTGAGAAATCCTATGTATCTCAATATAAATCCTCCAGTTTCTGCTGGGAGATTGCGAGCTCTGTCAGGAAGGTAGAGTGCTGCCTTCTCTATGGAGGTGAGAATAGGCTCTTGACTGTACGTTTCTATCTGCTTTCTTAGTTTTACATGCATTGCTTTCATTTAGGAAAAAAAGATATTATTGTAGTTACTAGCCTGTCTGCATACACATACGCTTTGCAGAGGGCTTCTGTTTCTAGTACAGGTTAGAGACAGCCACTCTTCCTGCCAAATATGGACTTCTTTTCAGAGGTGATCTTGTATCCTGTTTCTCTGATAGAGATACCAAAGACTTTGGCATCTGCCCATTTCTAGAAGCAGAGGACTTCAGAGTATAAGAAATTTGGACTACTACATGTATACCATGCAGTTTTTACCCTCTTAGGTCTTACTAGAGCAACGTTTGTTATTGCCATGCTGGGCAGTGACAGAAGTTGCCCTTTTGTGCAGGAAGATGCTAAATTGTGGCTATTTGGTCACACAGAACACCCACAGCTTATATTCACTAGCTGGTATTTGGTATTACAGAAGTAAATTAACTGACCTGCCAAGAGGATGCTCCTCTTACTTCTGGAAGCATTCAGCATTGCATCAATGTCAAATGAGAAATATTATTTTTTTGCCTTCAGTTGCCATAAACTAAGTTAGTGATCTTAGGAACACTGAGTTATTTGCTGTAATACCTTGTACATGCTGCTATTCCATCTTTATATAATGAATATTTATTTCTATTTACATCTCTACAGATACTTGTTTAGCTTGAAATTTGCTAATGTATCTGTGATTTTTAAAATTATTCCAGTTTCATCTATCATATTCAGACAAGGAATCCCTAGAGAAGGAGCCTAGAGGTGAATCCCAGCAAGAAGTCTTAAGACGGGCAGCCAAGGATCTTCCTATCTATACACGGACAATGTCTGGAGGTAAACAGGTGTTCAGGGGATCACCGAAGGCAGATGTCTTGATGTACTGCCTAAACTAATTAAAAAATAAAAATAAAAAAAAATCAAGTGTTTGGATTGTAGGAAAGAGCTGCTTTTCATACTTCATAAAATAACAAAGTGTCCCAACAACTTAACTTTAATGCAGCTTTATGCAGCTACATTTATTCAGTTTGTTGGAAAGTAAATTGCTGCGTACAATCTAGGAATTTAAAATGGATTGACAATGCCTTGCTAAATGTTTGCAAACAGACATTAACAAATAGCTTTTAATACTAACAAACTGCACAAGAGGCTGTAGCAGTCTTTTAACTGCATAGATTTCTTTCATGGGTCAAAGAAAAGAATAATTAAAAAAAATAAATCTCTGTCTGCATGTCATGTATAGCTAGGTAGATCACAGTAAGAAACTGCTTTACTTGCTGGTTGTTCAGTTGCAAGAACAAAAGTTCTTCCAAACTAAGCATTAATCTTAACCTATGATATTGTAAATTTGTGAATGCTGGCTAGCTGAGCAAATCCAAGAGATAATCTCTTGTAGTAAATTAAAGCTGTTACAATAATAGCTTAAAATAGCTATATTGTTGAACAGTCTTTAAAGGTTTTCCAGTCTAGTGAGGGTTTTGTTGGTTCATTGCTTGTTTTGCAGAGCTGAGGGGTTTGAAGAAAAAAGCCCCGATTAGCGTGATTAGCAGAGACTGCAAAAACTGAGCTTTTTGGGTTCACTCTGCTGGATTCAGCATTGCAAGTGCTTACAGAATGCTTCAGTATTTGCAGCTGCTTCTGGTCATGCTGAAATGCTTTCCTGGGGTTCTGCTGGGCTGAGCTGCTAGTGCTAACTTTGGCACAGACTTCAGGTATCAAAGTGTGCAACTGTACGTTTTGGTCTAACCTTGGAACTTTTTTCTTTAGCAATCAGGTACTGTGACAGATGCCATCTTGTAAAACCAGATCGTTGCCATCACTGTTCTGTATGCGACAAGTAAGAAAATACTTTAAATAAGTGGTTTCCTGAATAAATAGATTTTTTATCTTGACACTGAAGCCATTATTTTTTATGCGTAGACTTTTCAGGTGTAATGTTTTGGCAGAGAAGCTTCTTTTTTCCTTAGTTTTTTTCCAGGTTTAGTATTTATTTATTTATGAGGAAGTCTCTTTCTTACTCTAATTAATTTAATGGCTTTCTTGATGCCAACATGAATTATGTGGTCTTGCACACTCTTCACATAATGGTTAAAAATTATGAATTTTAATAAAGATCTTTCCTTAAGAATGTAACCAAAAATAGCTGATAAACAAAAATTTGCTTCTTTTGTTAGAATCTGAATAAAGATCACTACCCATCTCAATCTAATCATGATGTCACTTACATCTTATCTGAGGTAATAAATTTAATATCCTATTTTTTAATTGGATAACTTGCAAGTTATTTTTATTTGAAGAAAGAAACAATGAAGCATCCCCCATTTCTAACTGAAGCCGTAAAATAAAGTTTTTGTTTGTCTAACACAAAAGGAAGTTCACCTCCACATTCCCCAGAAGTCTAATTGCTTTGTAATTAATCTTCCTTTCAGCTGTTCTTCTCTCTGATCTTTTTCCAGTTAGCTTGGATGTCTGGGTGTTTCTCCACTGCTGTCCCCAGTGGTTTAAATTTCTAACCTTTAAGAGAAGGGGCTTCCTCAAAGGTTGATTTAGTTTTAGTTTTTGGCTGTTCCAAATACTCTTCAGCTGATAATACATCAAACCTTGCCATTGTGAGACAGAGAAGGCCTTTTATTCTGTGCAGCAGAATAAAAACAGCAGAGGCACTGAGAGTCACTGAGTTGAGGCAGAATGAGGATCTTGGTTGTGTTGTATGGGATGGTGGTTGCAATGCAAGATAGGAACATCCTCATGTCTGAGCAGGGTAGAGAAAATGGTGAACTGTGTTATCCTACGAAATGTGAGTGAAATTTGCAGAATGTTATTAGTTAACATATTTTGCAGCATACTTTAATTTTGTCCTTACCTTGTCAGAATTCACTTGCTTCGATTAAATTTTATTTTCTTGTGCATGTTTTATTAATGGAGAGTGAGTAATTGCAAAATGTTTGGAATCTTTCGTACAAGGTAAGTTCTTAAAAACCTTGTGTGTATGTATATATTTATATAAAAGCAAATCATATACTTGGAAATATATTTAGTTGCATCACTAAGTATATAATAATTGAACTAGCCCAGTTTCTAAGTCTCTGTCAGAGAATAAACAGGAGTTGAAAAACCCATTCAGACTGAGGATCACTTCCTAAAGCTGTAGATGTAGGTGACATCACTGAACTCTTGACAGAGCAAGTGCTTTGGGTTTGGGTTACCTACAGTTAACTTGTATGTAAACTCTTGTGACTTTAAATACACACCTTTGTTAAACAGCTTACGTAACCGGTAGTGCATACTGATAGTTCTTAATCTGTATGTGAATAATTTAAATCTGACGTGTAACTGCGCCTCTGACTTTTTCTTTTCTTTTTCTTTTGTGATGCTTGGAATTTTGTTGGGTTTTTTCAAGATGCATTTTGAAAATGGATCATCATTGCCCGTGGTGAGTGTACTATTGGCTTTCGTTTCTTACTTTACAATTTGGTAAAATAAACTCTTGAGGGGCCTTTTATGAAGGTGGTGCTTCACTATCCTAAAGTTCGATGCTTACGCAAAGTTACAGGTCTTGCAGGACAGTTGAATTTATTTACTGTAAATCCTCTTTTCCTAGTTGTGAGATGTGGGAAGAAGTTTGTATATAATTTTTCTTTGACCTTTGAGTTAGGTCAGTCTGTATTTTTAGTTAGGAGGAGGTAGCCTTCTGGTCAGTAAGAAAACTTCTTTTAAGAACTGCATCTTTTCTTCATGGACTTTGAGTATTACTGTGGCTTAGTTGCATTGAATGATTAAATACTGTCCCAGGTTAAAAACCAAAGGGACGGGCTGTGCTGCGTTCCTCTTGCTGAAGCTCCTGGGACAGCTTGAGCAGGCTTGCTGGAAACAGCAGGTTTGCTCTTCAGTTTTATGGGTTCTTTCATTTTTTTCTCACCTCTTCACCCTTTCTCCTTTTGTAGCTGTCAGGCTATTTGTGACAAAATAATGGTGAAAAATCTCAATACTGTTGTTACTAATATTAGATATTACACACATTCTTCATAAGCTTTATGGTCTGTTTGGGATTTTTTGAGCTGTTCTGCCTTAGGATGGTACTCAAAACATCCTTCATGTAAACCTCTTTTAGAATAAAAATGCATTGCATCGAGTAACAAATCATAAACCGGGCACTTAAGTGTTGTGTGAAGGGGCAGTGGAGTGATATTTCACAAAGGCGTAGACTTTTCTAGAAAAGTAAACTCAGTTTTCAGTAGCATTTGCTTATGTTACGTGTTTGCAGAGTCTTCATGTGCAAACAACATAGACATACCCAGTTTAAGAGAGTATTTGTACTGCTCATTGTTTTTAATCTAATAATAGGTGCAAAAAAAACAAACAAAAAATGAATGGAGGAAGTACTTGAAAGACATGTAATGCTTCTTGATGGAGAATTGTTCCTTTTGTACTCCCAGTAACAAAAATGCACTCGAAAAAGAGCTGTTGTCTTGCTTTATTTTTCCTAAGTTGAGAGGATGCCCACATTTCCTTGCTGACCCTGAAAAAATTAATTATGTGGAAGTGAGAAGAGAGTTTTGAAATACTGCACAGATGCTGATCAAACTTTGTAGTTTCCTTTAAAGACCCATGCTCAGGGCGTCTCTGGGAAATATCATGTGGCTGTTTTACCAACAAAATTAAGAGTGCAAATCAGTATACTGGGTGGGTTTTAGCACCCTGAGAACTTCATTAGGCTCTGCTTTGCTTTTTGTGTTGGAATTTTTTGGTGGGAAAGAAGTGGGAAAGAACCCATCTGATGCTTAGGGAGAGCAGGGATGCACTATGTAGGCCCACTGATGAATGGGGTGGGT